TGTCCCTAGCCTTTGTTTGCCAAAAACTGGGCATAGGCAACAGGGGATGGATCACTTGATGATTACCTGTTCTGTTCATTCCCTCTGGGGCACCTGGCATTGGCCACTGTCGGAAGACAGGATACTGGACTAGATGGACCTTTGGTCTGACCCAGTATGGCTGTTCTTATGTTCTTAAGACAGAAATGTGAAAGTAAGTGCCCTTCAAGTCGACAGCAGCATATCAGTCCCCTGGATCCCGGGAGTGGATGATGGAGACCATGCAGAACTTCAGTTTCTTGAGATAACTGTCAAGCCAACGCAGGTCCAGGATGGGGAGTGGGAGGCAGGGATGGAGAAAAACTGAAGGGTATAACTGTCCACCACTGTATTTAGCACCCAGCAGTCCAATGTGATGTGGGACCATGCTGATTTGAAGTGGGAAAGTTGGTCCAAAAATAAAGGAGGTGCAGAATCCGAGATGGGAACTGCTACAGTGCACTCAGGCACACCTTCAAAATGCCTGCAGGGGCCATTGGAGTACCTATGTAACCCCGGCAGCAAGGTTGAGGTGGATGGGAGCAGTTGATGCTTGTAACCTCTGCCCTTTCACTTAAACAGGTCCCTGTGTCGGTGGTGGAGCCGAGAAGCAGGCCAGCCGTTGAAGCCTGAAGTGCTTCCTTGAAGTGGACGGCGCACAGAGGCCCAGGGACCTGAGAGTAGCTCTTGCGTCCTTCAGGCTGTAGAGTCTTGTGTCTGCTTGCTCCAAAAACAATGAGGAGCCTTTGAAAGGGAGGTCCTGGATTGACTTTGGATCTCCTGAGGTAGCCTGGAGGACTGTAGCCAAGAGCACTGCCTCATGGACACTGCTGAGGCCATTGTCCTGGCCACCGCATCAGCTGCATCCAGTGCTGCCAGGAGAGAGGCTCTGGCAACATATTTTTCCCTCCTTTAAGAAGGCAGAGAATGCCTGCCTTGAGTCCTGAGGCACGCAGTCTTTAAATTTGGACAAGGAGTCCCACAAGTTGTAATCATATCTCCCCAGCAGGGCTTGTTAGTTTGCGATACGTAGCTGAAGACCAGTTGTTGAATAAACTTTCCTCCCAAACAGATTACGTTTTTTTTGCATCTTTCTGTGTGGGGGTAGCACATGGTTGGCCTTGTCTATCCCTCTCATTGGCTGCTGATACAACTAGGGACCCAGGAGGGAGGTCAGAGTATAGGTACTCATACCTGTTGGCTGGCACATAATATTTCTTCTCTGCCCTCTTCGATGTGGGGAGCAGAGAAGATGGGGTCTGCCAGAGGGCTTTGACTGGACCCATTACCGCTTTGTTAATAGGTAGGACCACCTTAGATGGTGCTGTTGCAGCCAGAATATCAATGAGGCTGTGGGACAATTTCTTGAGCTCCTCAATCTCTAGCCCCAGGTTAGCTGCTATCCACTTCAGACGCTCCTGATGGGCTCTAAAATCATCTTGCAGCAGTGAGCAGCTCGTTTCCAAGACAGCCTCATCTGGGGAAAAGGAAGAAAGGGCCTGCACTGGAGGGAGGCCTTTTTCCTCTTCTTCAGCCTCTATTACCTCCATGGGGCCCACATCCTGTGTATCGGTATCGAGTTTGGTATCGGAGTTGGGGTCTGGTGCCAAGCAGAGCAGAGCCCTTTTCTCAGAAGCAACTGAGTATGATGGGTGAGAAGATGGACCCGGTACCACGGGAAACCCCCATGGGTTCCAGAATGGCCAAGGCATAGGCCACTGCCCACCTGGCCACATACCAGCAGAGGGACCCAAACTGAGGTCTGGCAGCATGTAGGATGGGTACCGGTGGTGGCTCTTGAGCTGGGTGTAGGGCTCCACGTCTGACTCAGGTGATGAGTCCTCCCGAGGTGACCACGGACAGTGGTACCCCTCACTTCTGCTGTTGGTGCTGAAGGTTCAGGAACCAGTGGTGGACTGGGGATGACCACATAAAGGAAAGCAGGGTTGGCTTGCCCTAGAAGGTATTGAAAGTCCCGGTGCTGGGAAGGAGCTCAGAGCACCATGCTCTCTCCTGCTCATGCTTGCCAGAGCCGGCGGTTGTTACATTGGAGTTGGCGGTACCGGGAGCGATAACAAGTACCTGGCCGTTGCAAAGGCCTCCAGGATTGAAGGCACCGCAATCCCACTGGCACAGCGATCACTTCCCAGCTTTGGTGTGGGGATCCCACACCAGACTCAACGTTCTGGGTGGAGTCGATGGTGCCACCACGGGACAGGAGATGAGTAGTAGTCCAACACACTTCACACTCCACTTCCTTCACCTTGCTTGCCTTTCTTAGGCACCGATGAGCACCCTCTATTGGTGCGCTGCTTTTTATGCTTCCTTGGTACTGGAGATGGAGAACAGTGTCAGGATGCATGCTGTGCCAGAGGAGCGCTTCGCACCAAGGCCACAGTGCTTGGTGCCGAATCCGAACGGCTTCTATTAGGATAGCCTTCAGTCTGATCTCTCTGTCCTTCTTTGTATGAGGCTTACACTCCCGACAAATTTGACAGAGCTCTTTCACGTGACTTTCTTCCAGACACTTCAGAGAACTGGAGTGTGGGTCGCTCATGGGCATAGGCTTGCCAGAGGAGGCACAAGGTTTGAAGCCCGGGGACCAGAGCATGTGTGGCCCCAGTGGCGAAGGGAGCCCCTCAACAGTAAGGGAAGGGGTTCTAACTATCTACAATAGTGCTATTTACAATATTTACACTACAGCTATACTAAGACTAATCAACTAAGATACAGAGAAGAAAACCACTGAAAACACCTTGCCGAAGTAAGAGGAATTGTTCCAGCAACCATCACGGGCAATCAGAAGGAACTGAGAGGGTGCAGGGTCGACGGTGCCTCTTGTACCGGTGCATAAGCAAACAGCACCCGAGGGCGCTAGAGCTGACTTGACGGATACCACTGAGGGAAAACTCTCCAGCAACTGTGCATATGGCACGTGCACACCTAATGTGGAATGGATGTAAGCAAGCACTCAACCCCCACCCGCCCCATGTGAACAATTCAATGAAACAAACAAATTTGCAAAGGGTCATGGTGAAGTCTCCATCACTTACAATTTTTAAATCACAATTTGATGTTTTTCAAAAAGATCTGCTCTAGGAATTACCTGGTCTGTGCTAGACTAGATGATCACAATGGTCCTTTGTGGCCTTGGAATCTATGAAACATTTCAGTGTCACATCATCTGTCATTTTCACTGAAAAAAGTTTTGGCTGAAAAATTTCACCCTACCTGTAACCATATCATGGGTTCTCTCAATCTAGGGCTGTCAGGGTATTGAAACCACCCTGCCCTTCTCATATGGCTAGATAGAAGGAAGGATCCTGGAACGGGAATGGGGGCCTCAGTATGAAAAATGTTGAGAACTCATGCTCTACAGCTCTGAAATCCCTTCTTTCCTCTCCATTCTGCCACAAAACCTTTATCCATTCCTGGGTCAAAGCTCAGCTCACTTAGTCCAACTTCTTCCTCCGTGGACTCTTCTTCTTATCTGAGCCCCCTTTAATCTTTACAGAACTCTGCTGCTAATGATCATGTTTTTGCTTCTTAGACCATGTCACTCCACTGTGCATCAGTTCAAGCTTTTTGTTATTTGTTTATAACATACCTAGAAAGATGGGGTTCAGGCCTCTACATGCTGCCATCATAAAAATATTAAATAATAGTATTCATCGTCACCATCAAGGTTCTGTGGAACTTTGCCCGTGTTTATATCGCTGCCTTCATTTCCACCTACTCCTCCAACTGCCTATGGACCTGCTAAACCACCTTCCGTTATGCCTTCTTTGTATCCTTCTCCCACTTATCTTCATAATTTCTTAACCTGCTACTCCATATATATGGGCCTACCTCCCTCTTCTTATGCATTGAATTAGCCTCTTCACTTTTTCAGATCCTTTCTTAAAACACAGAATTCTTTCATTGGTAATCCACAAAATGTACGAAATCTGCACCACATGTTCTGTAGCTCTAAATTGTGTGTTCTGTGTTCCAATTTAGAACAAAGACTGTGTAGTAGGGACAGCATCTTCCTCTGTGTTGACAAATAATTCATTAACACCTTCTCCCTTCTATGTAAAGCATTATGCATCTATGCAAGGCTAGAGCCCTATCCAGCCTCATGTCTCATTTCACCAAACCCAGCATATAACAGTGCTAACATGACAGCTATTGAGACATCCAGAAACCATAAGGGGACTGGGCTAAAGTATATCAATTGTTTTAGAGACCATCTAGTAAGGCATCTCTCCTAAACGGCTATGGGGATAAGACCGCATTGTAAAGATTTTGAAAAAAAGCTGGCAGTCAACACTCCCTGCCCCTAGCATGTCCACTCCACTACAGCAGAATCCACTGATCTCACTACTATTAGGAATGTAGGATTCACTATATTGGATAAAACTATAGGCCCATCACCTCTGGTATCCATCAATACCTAATGCAGGGGTAGGCAACCTATGGCACAGGTGCCGAAAGTGGCACGCGAGCTGATTTTCAGTGGCACTCACACTTCCCGGGCCTGGCCACCGGTCCGGGGGGCTCTGCATTTTAATTTAATTTTAAATGAAGCTTCTTAAACATTTTAAAAACCTTATTTACTTTACATACAACAATAGTTTAGTTATATATTATAGACTTATAGAAAGAGACCTTCTGAAAAGGTTACAATGTATTACTGGCACGCGAAACCTTAAATTAGAGTGAATAAATGAAGACTCGGCACACCACTTCTGAAAGGTTGCCAACCCCTGACCTAATGCTTCCTTGAAAGCAACACTCCATGTATTTTTCCAAATAGTGTTGTATGTGGATGAAAAAATGCCATCCCAGTTTCCAGCAAGCATCATGTTCTGAAACTTGAGTTTTGACTGCCCTTATCTCAGTGAATTGGCAATTGCTGTGTATGAAGCAAACAATCCCTGGTTTCTGCATGTTGTTACCTGGAAACATAGCACCTCTCTACAACAGAATATGTGGCGTACCTGCCTGTCCACCTCTGGGAGCAGCAGCAGCAGCCGTTGCTGACAGTCTGTGGGTAGGACAGAGAATGTGTGCTTGTTGATCAGCGCCCGCAGATTGGTATTCACTAAGATGGAGTCAGGTGTTTCCACATCAATTTCAGCACATTTCGTCCTCTTCAGCTGCCCTGTAAAGAACCACAGAGGTCTGTGTAACCTGAGGCAAGAATAAGGGCTCCCCTACCTCTGAGCTGCTCTTCACTTAGCTCATGGTTACATGAAGCTATTAATAATGCTGTTTCAATGGCTCATTTTCAAACCCTGGGAGGGAGGGAGCAGTAAGCTCCCTGGCTAAGTCAGGAGCAGAGCAGATGAACATCCACCCTTCTGCCATAAGGATTAGCATTACGTGGAATCGTGGGAGTTAGAGTGTGATGGGATGATTAAAAACATAATGTGGGGATTCTTGGGGCTATGGTCTCTCATCTCCCAAGGAAAATATTAACCCCTAATATTCTGCTTTGTCTGGGTTTGCCTAACTCTGCAAGGATTCCAGGCTGCCCATGGTAACGAGATAGCAGAACCTCCCCTGTGCTGGGGTAGGAGTCTCTCTCAGCAGGATTTTTTTAGCAAGTGTACTTTAATCTTCTATTTTAATCCTGTGGCCAGGGGCAGCTTCTTCCTTTGGATTTCTTGCTGGTTCATTTGTATTTTGAACTCAGCAAAAGCAGAAGTGATTTAGAAAAATATCAGTATCACGTACACAGTTTTCAGCAGACAGCTCTGCTTGTGTTGAGACCACAATGCTAAACAAAGCAGCAAGAATGAAAAAATATTTTCTCTTCTTCCCTTTTCCCACATGGTAAAGGTCCTAACCACTAGTCCTGCAGTTCTAGCACCAATCCCCATGCTACAGAAAGTCTCACATGAGCACTGTAATTTCAGAAACAGCCTGACCGGAGAGCGCATCTGTACAGTGTATGCTCTTCCCTTTGGGCTTGTCTGTTACACATTGTTGGCAATATGCCATTATGTTCTGTGAACTTCAATTAAAAATGTATCATTAATAACAAGTCTAATGAAGACAGTCATACCATGTTCTGCCAGAGCGTGGGGATGATGATTTTAAGGTAATTGCTCCCCACAGCACAACTCCCATGGAAGCTTGTTTCATTTGAGAAAGGTGACACACACACTCAGAGGCCATTTAGAAAACGCCAGTGTCGATTTTGCAATCTGTTTGGTTTGCGCTATTTCCCTGACTTGCAGATGGAGTTGGGTCTGGAATACAGAGCAGCTCTCTCCAGCTGGCTGTGCTGCACACCTCTCACTGGCAAAGGGCTGGCAAGGAGCTTGGCCACAAACAACAAATGAACACTGCTCTGCCTTATTCTTTTTTCCTCAAATTTTAAATTAAGTGAATGTTTAGTGCTGGGATGGTGCAGTAGCTCTGGGTATGCTGGGTACTTATGCCCAGAACAGGTACCGCAAAAGCAAACTTCCCTCACATGGGCCCACCAACATATCTCAGCCCTGACCTGGAGTGCTTCAGTCTCCATGGCGTCCATGTCCGTCGTGGGCATCCAGGCTGAGGCAAAGAAAGGGGTCAGCTAGGGCCAACTGTGATGGTGATTTGTGTGATTGTGCACCTGTGTATTGGGAGCAGGGCTGCACCCTCCTGTGTGGGGGGGGTAATGTTCGAGTGACTGACAAAGCAGCACTGATGGGTAGAGCCCTGGCGAATACAAAATTTGTATCCGCATATATGGTCCGTGGATATAAAGCAGATATCCAGAGATTTGCAGGGCTCTACTGATGGGCTCTTGACATTACTAAGTGTGGGTTGCCACAATGCAAGATCTTAAGGGGCCATGGAGAAATTGCAGAGGACCCCGAATGGGATATGGATGGAACCTTTCACCTCAAGGCCACTAATTCAGATCAATTCCAACAAAAACTGTTACCAATGGATGGACTTTTTGGCCCATGTGAAGTGAGGGGTGATGGGGCTGAGCACATGGTTTCCCCCTACTCCCCTGGCCTACAGAGACAATAGTGAGATTTCATTTAAACTCCAAGCATCTGTAAAACAAACCACAAGCAACAAAGGGGAATTGAGAAACATGTAACTTAAAAAACCTGGCAAGAAACCAAGTAACACTCTTGGGCTTGAAGGATGGGGTTTATTTTTGCTTCTTTTTTAAGGTAACGGAAACACCTTAAGTGCTAGAAGGAAAAGGCTGCTAAATAATGCAAGTCCTTTTCTGCCTCTGTTGCACAGAGGATTGTGAACACAAGAGCCAGCAAAGCTTCCTGATGAGAAGAGCTGGGCATGGACATGTTTGCGTGTATAGAGTTTCTGAGTTGGGTGGTGGTTTTATTTTCCCTAATTCATGCTGAAGAGCAGGAGTGCCTTTCAGGATTGGCCAGAAACTGCTCCAACCCTGGAACTAGCTGCAGCTTTTACTTAATTTTCCGCTCTGCTTTTTACTCTGCCATCAGAGCAACAAAACCCTCTTTGTGCAGAAAAATAAATAACTTACTTGCATGGAGTCTGTCAGATCTCTGGAATGGTTTCTTCCCCAAGCCTGGCAGGGAGTTATCAGCCTTAACAGAGGGAGAGGAGCTGGAGGTGGAGTTCTGAGGGCTGCTTGATTGTCCATCTGACTGCCTTCCTTCCCAAGCTGTACAGGAAACAAACGTTTTAACATTGGGGATCTACAAGTGTTACACAAAACATCTGTTTGCATGGATTTAATAGAGCATTCTTTAATATCGGTACCCTAATTCACAGCAGTGCCAGGAGAAGAAGTTCTATAACACTGAGCCCTGGTCTACACTACACATTTAAGTTGGTATAACTATGTCACTCAGGGATGTGGAAAATCCACACCCCTGAGCAACACAGGACCAACCTAAGTCCTGGTGTAGACAGTGTTATGTCAACGGGACAGATACCTACCCTGATGGGAGAAGCTTTGCCATCTGCACAGGTACCGTCTTCACTAAGCACTACAGTTGCGCTGCTGCAGTGCTGTGTAAGAATAGACAAGCCCTTACATTTTTCTCCTCTCCTTGCACTGATTTTCCAGCCTTCTATAAGCAGCAGGGCCTTCTTATCTTATCTTATCAGGAGCTATCAAATCATCACAGAAGATAGAGATGGAAAACAGTCTCTCGGATCATCTAAATCTATTCCTCATCAATGCAGACAGTTTATTCTTCATGCATTTTCCAGTCCAGTGATGGGACTACGAGAACTTCCTTTCAGAGGCTGCTCTACTATCTGATGGAGCTCACTGCTAGGCAATATTTCACAATACTCAGCCTATATTGTCCCTTTCTTCATTTCAACCCATTACTCCTCATGGCGCTCCCTTAGGCCACCCCCAATAATTCTTTTCCCTCCTTAGTGGTTATGCCCTTCATGTACTTCAGATTATTATCATGTCCTTCCCCCTAAAGTCATTGCTTAGCCAAGTTAGTCAGATTTCACTCTTTTAAAATCTCCTCATAAATCAAGCCCTCCCACTACCCGATCATTTGTGCTGCTCTCAGTTTTTTAACATTCCTCTGTCTACAGCAGTAACATTTCTTTCTGCTCACAGAAAAAGATTCCCATCCCGTCGAAGTGCATTTTCTTTTCCCCTTCTCTTTCTCAATAAGCTGAATTAAGAACATTAGCAGTTGTTTTCCCACTGCCTTAGATGAATATGCAGTAACAGGCCTGCATTCCACATCGCCAAAGGTGCTCCCGTTCCTCGGCAATAGAAGAGGAACTCAGGAGTACACACAGATAAGTCACAAAGCGACTGAACATTGTTATTAATCACTTATGTCACAGTAACACCCAAATGCTCCCAGCAGGATCATACTCCATTGTACTGGAGGTTTTATAAAACATCCAAGGCTCTGACCCAGAAATACTGAGAGTCTAGTAAGACCAAAGGGCGAGGGAGAGAGCTACTTCTAGGTCTCAATTGAATTAGTTTGATGGCCTCAGTCACAACTTTTCTGGATGTTTTTTGCCTCTTTTTCTCACTCACACCCTGCACAGGGCTGGTGAGTCAGAGGTAAGGAGCTGGTTTCAGGGGACCTCCCGATCATAACGTAGCAGCCAAAATGAAGGGAATTCAGAGAAAAATAACAAAAATGATAAAGGGAGCTGCAGAGAAATGGCTCAGTATATCTGACTGGCTAAGAAATGACCAAAGGGGACATGGTAATTGTCTGCAATTATGAGGAGGGTGTAAACCGAAAGCACGGAGAGGAATTCTGTAGGCTATGCAATGCTTTGAAGATTGAAAGTGTTACGTAATATGGGTGTGGACCACTTCGCATATTAGACCAAAATTATGCTACAACACCGCAGAATTATGTGGCAAGGCCAGGCCCTCCCATCTCCCAGCCTGCTGCCAGAAACTGGTGTAAGAGTCACTCCATCCCTGAGGACATGAAACGGGCCAGAATGGGGCCTTAAGACCAGGGTAGAGGGGAGCTCTGAGAAGAAAGCTCAAGCCGAAGAGCCAGAGAGCCATTCAGATTTAAACTAGTTAGCAAGGAAAACGTTGTGAAAAGTTTGAAATGGCACTGGGCTCCCACCAGCTTGCGTGGAAGGGTTTATGCACCTGCCACACCCTTTCCGACACTTAAACATAAAATACACAAGATTTTCCATGCCAACTAGTTGTAGCTCCCTTCTCAGGCCTTCCCTCATCTATCTAGGAGTGGCTAGAGGCACCCCCTTCCCCGGCATTTCCTCCTGCAAGCCTCCCCTGTAGCTCCCATGTATGCACGGAGCAGTACATGCAAGAAGTGCTTCGGAAACAACCAAGAAGTGGTTGACTTCCCTTCCCTTATTCCTCTCAACAGGGTCTTAACGTCAAAGCTGGCTTGGGACCCCTTGAATGCCAACCCTGTCAACTACTTCATTATTAAGCACCACACAAAGTACATCTGGCAGATATGCTTGTTCCTTGCCGCTGGATATATGCAGCCTAGCCTCAACCTTGCAGTCATCTGAACAGATGTTACATAGGCCATTCCAGCAGCAATTAAACAGCTAGCCAAGACAGCCTCAGCTGGTTTTGGTTTTGATTCTCTTGGGGTCAATTGAAAAGAGGGAATAAACAAACATGCACAGTTAAGTAGAAAAGTCAAAAAGAGAGCCAAACATCAAAATTCTCCTTAATTCTACATGGCCAAGCCGAACTCCAACGTTCAGCATGGAACTCCCATGGAGTCCGATCACAGGCAGATCTGAGAGCAGAAAGTTATTCGGATTCCATAAGTGCCCACTCTGATCTTCTCTCTGTAGTTAATGGTTCACCCTGTTACACTGGCTAGCAGGCTACACTAGATCAGTCACTTTTGCAAGGACTGGATTTAGCCTTTGATTTGGGAGCAAAAGCATCTGACGTTGCATTGACCTATTTTTTCTCTCTCCCCTTTTTGTGTATGTGAAGCTACTAGACAGACATTGTAATGACAGCTCCAGGTTTGGTGCTAACACAATGGAGTTGCTGCAATGTAACATGTCCTGGTATTTGTCTGTGTGTGTATCAGGAGATGGTCATAACCATGTATCTAGCCTGGTACCTGCCTACCAGTGTTCTTGAATGTGACATGTATTGCTAACTTGTGATGGGTCACAAGATAAAGTTATAGTTAAGCTGGTCTCACAAAAGTAACTTTGTCAAAATTAAAATATATTTTTTATTTTTGCTCTTAGCTAAAACAAACAAGAAAGGAGATTAATCCCTAAAGGGGCATGTTAAGCCCTTGCGCCTTTATGAAGGACCATTTTCCACTGTTGGTAGGATTATTTATTCACCCAAGACTGATAAAAAATGTTACACCCTCTGTATGACATTAATAAATAATGATAGTAAATAATGAATAATAATGCTTAGCACTTTGACTTCAAAGCACTGTACAAACATTAATTAATCATTACGCATTAATAAATAATATAGTCATTAATTAATGTTATGCTTGGAAATCAAGCATTTGGAACCCCCTTCAAAGGTGTGCAATACTGGCCCCCCCCCCCCCCCCCCATCTACATAGCTTTATATCATGTGTGCTCCTCCCTTGCAAACTGCATAACCGCGGCCACTGGGAGCTGCGGGGGGCCGTGCCTGCGGGCGATCATTGTAAACAAACTGTCTGGCGGCCCACCAGCGGATTACCATCACAGGCCGTGTGCGGCCCGCGGGCTGCAGGTTGCCCACCACTGTTATAAATGGTTTACCAGCATAGCTACACCAGAATAGCGATGGCAGCAGAGTCCTCTAATGGAGACACAGCATAAGTCAACTGAAAGCGTTCTGCTGGCATAGGTACATCAACTCCTTGAATGGTGAGAGCTATGCCAACAGACGCACTTTCTGTCGGCTTCGTTACATTTACACCAAGGTTTCTGCCCGCGTAGCTATGTTGGCTCGGGGGTGTGATTTGCTCACACTCGCAGCTGACATAGCTATGCCAGAAAAACTTTGTCATGTAGCTTAAGCCTCTCTCAACACAAAGCTTAGCGGAGTAGAAGTAAACATCTCAGTGGAAGGTCAGGGAAACACTAAAGAGAGATCGGAGGGACAGTAACAGCCCTATTCCTGGAGGAGGGGGGTAATAATTGCAGGTACTATGTTACACCTGCAAACATTACCCGCAGTGATTGTATGTCTTTTCCCAGATAATTGCTAAAGCTATCACACAGCTTTGGGCTATGAACAGATCTCCATGGATCTGTTCCCCCACTAGAAATATGTTTTAATTAGCATGATGTTAAGTACAAGTTTGCCTTTCTCTGCGCTAAGGGCACAATTGTGTTTAACACTGTGCTAATTAAAACGTGTTAGTTAACATATTTTCCTTGGTTTACACATCAATTCTCCCTTCTCAAAGTGATTTCAGAGGGCCTGAATCAGGGAATCCATGTCAGGAACATCTTGTGGGGGATGGTGCATTTTGGAACCAAAATGGTTTTTTTAAATAAAAACGGTAGGAGGGGTGGAGACAGCTTTGGTGTGAGAAGGACACAGCTTCTGTGGGTCACACAATCCTCAGAAGCCCCATTCCAGCAACCCCTTCAACAGCATCAAAGGAAGGTGTAACCAGATAATGTGACCCAACAATTGGTGGAGTGGTAAATAAAAAGAGTGATCTGGATCACTTGGTAAGCTGAATTTGTTTGAACAATGTGTATTTTCATACAGCCAAATGCAAGGACACACATCTCAGAACAAAATATATAGGCCCTAGTTACAGATTGGAAAGCCAGTACACTGGAAAGCGGTAACTCTGAAAGGACTTAGGGGTCACAGTGGATAACTAAATGCACATGAACTCCCAGTGTGATGCTGTGGCTAAGACAGCTAATGTGATCTTTGCTGAATAAGGGGAGATATTGAGAAGCAGTAAGGATTAGTGAGATATCACTGAATACTGTGTCCAGTTCTAGTGTCCACACTTCAGAAAGTGTAGTGAAATTGTGAAGGGTTCAGCAAACAGCTAAATGATTGATTCAAGTTCTGGAAAACATGCTTTATAGTGAGAGACTTAAGAAGCTACATCTGTTTAGCCGATCCATCAGAAGATTACAAGGTGACTTGATCACAGTCTATACATGCCGACATGGGGAGAAGTTTTCTGATAGTAGAGGGCTCTTTAGTCTACAAGACAACAGCATAGTAAGACTGAATGGATGAAAGCTGAATCTAGACAAATTCAGTTTAGAAATAAGGTGCACATTTTTAACAGTGCGGGTGATTAACCATTGGAACATTTTACCAAGGGTTGTCGGATATTCTTCATTACTTGAAGTCTTTAAAGCAAAACTGGATTGTTTGCTACTCTAGCTCAACCAGAATGTACTGGCTTGATACAGGAATTATTAGGTGATGGCTGTACTGTGCAGGGCATCAGACAAATGATCATATGGTTCCCTCTGGCCTTAAAATCTATTATTTTTCCCTAACACAATGCATTTTCCTAGTATAGACAAAGCCAAGAAGACAGAAGCTGGAACAGTTTAGAAATACAAAGAATGCTCTGGAAAACTGGGGCTTCCTCTCTCCCTCTTCCCCTAAAGCCTAGGAAAGGCAAGTCCGAGAGACATGACAGTAAAAGAAAGCCTGGGAATCTCGCTGCCTCGTACCAGGTTTAGCAGGTGTGGAGTCACTGGCTGCCTTCACAGTCTTCAGTAGAAGATGCTGGTTAGAAGACACAGGCATGCCTGCTCTGCATTGCTGCTGCTGCTGCTGCTTCTGTTGCTGCTGCTTCAGGGCCTAGTGAGAGCGGAGAGAAGGACATGACTGATTAAAAATTCAAACCAAGCTTGTAATAACCACCATACAGAAGAGTTTCCTTTACAAGAAGTCGTACTTTGGCCCTGATAGCACTTTCAGCCAAGAATTTTAAAGAGCTTCAGAAATACATCCCCTGCTTCCAGTGCACTGTCCATTTTAAGGAGACACATTTTCTACCATTTGTCTGTATATAAACTGTTCAAATAACACAACAGGAAAAGATTTAAGTGGACCAGTTTCTCAGGATCTTAAATGACCATTTCTTGGAACAGCGAGTTCTAGAGAACATGAGAAATAACCATAGCAATAATTATATATAACCATAATAGAACCACTCAATAATAGTGACTACCAGGGCTTAAATTCTCCCCGAGTGTTTCCTGGGGCTTGGGGCTCCAGCCCTGCGGGGCAAACCGGGGCTCAGGGCTTCAGCCCTGCGGGGAATGCTGAGGCTGCTGCAGGTCTGAAAATATTTACTACAGCTCCTCTCTGGTCGGCTCTCGCTGAATTTAAGCTCTAGGGACTACAGTACAATTAATCTCAGCTTCCTCGGGAGGAATCTGACAAAAAACTTGTACAGTGGAATTTTTAAAAATGAGGAAGGTAGTCAAAGATTCTAAAATCGAAAGTGAAGAAAATTAAAATCCTTTGTGTCAGCATGGAGGCTATTAAAACAACTATAACCAAGTCCTAGAAGGCATGCATACCCTTAACCAGAAGAGGAAGCAGGAGCGCAAGACATGAAAGTTGTGTTAAATGCTAAAGTTCATAAGGTCATTCAAGCCAAAAAGTTAGCCTAAAAATGGAAATCTAGCCCTAATGAAGCCAACAGAGAGTAGCATGAACTATGGCAGGTACAATGTAGGATGGAAATTAGGCATGGGATAGAAAGTAACTCTGTCTCAAAAAGCATAATTCAGATATAATAGGGGTCAGAGACAAGCAACAAAAAAATTAGAGGCCTGGAGAGACTTCTGTATGAGGAACAACTGAAAAGATCGGGAATGTTTAGTTCAGAGGAGACACAAATAAGTGGGGATATGACAGAGGTATACAAAATAATGACTAGACTAGAGGAGGAGATTGGGTACTTCTATTCACCACTCATGATATAAGACAAGGGGAATGTTTTGTTCAAGAAACCGCAATGCAACAAATTTAAAACTAGTAAATAAAGTATTTTCTACGATGCATAATAATCTGTGGAATTCACTGCCACAATATATAATTGAGGCCAAAAAATGAATGGGATTTAAAAAAAATATGACATTTATATTCATAGAATATCTGGGTTGGAAGGGGCCTCAGGAGATCATCTAATCCAACCCCCTGCTCAAAGCAGGACCAATCCCCAGACAGATTTTTGCCCAGATCCTTAAGTGGCCCCCTCAAGGATTGAACTCACAACCCTGGGTTTAGCAGGCCCAATGCTCAAACCACTGAGCTATCTCCCCCACATTGATAATGCAGACATCCATAGTTACATTGGACAGGACAAAACATATTTTTAGGATGGCTATAAATCTTCCTGCTTCAGGGCACAAGCAAACCACTGATTGACAGGGGTCTATAAGAAACTTCCTCTGTGAGCAAATTATACCATAATTGTCAACAGCAGGTTTTTCTGCATCTTCTTCTGCAGCATCTGGTACCAGCTACTGTCAAGAAGATCCTGGACCAGAGGGAGCACCAGTTTGTTCTTGTACATTGCTGGCGTGTATGTATCCGGTAGTCCTATGTTATTCATAGATTATTAAAAGTGAAAGGGTTCTAAAAAATCCAGTTCACTTCTTGGCTTGATGCCATTTATTTGGTGATTTTTCTCAGCCAAGACAACGTAAACCAATGAATTCAATTTTGGTTTTGTTCTCAGTGCTGAAATGTTTGGGCTGCAAACACTTGCTGGGGGTGAGGATGCAGGGAAAGGAGGAATGTTTATTCATTTAGAAAGAGGTTTTTTAAAATGCCATGTCAACACTGAGATTGGTGTTTGCTCTTGTAAAAGCTTGGTTTTTACACCATTTACATGTTGGGCCCAGTCAGAATTGACAGTGTCCCTTTAAAGCTACTTTCAAAAAATATACCACTCCGTTTAAAAAACAATTACCAAGGGAGTGAAAATGAGTTTTTCCCTAATACTGCTGCTGATCCAGGCAGCAGCAAACAGGTGTTTCAATGCAACAGTGGAAACACACTGTAAATACCTCTAAAAATATCCAGGTGCATTTCCTCAAGGAGTTAAAACAATTCCACCCTGGAGCTGACTGGTGCGTCTAGCATGTTGACTGTATTCCAAACAGCGAGTTGAAAACAGCTTGCCCCAGTTTTAAACTGTTTCCTGGAAGGATTATTTTCTTTTTATTTCCTTTTGTTTTGCCCTCTCTCTCTCTCTTTCCCTCTCCTGGTGAGCTGACCCTTAAATGTTACCAGTCTGGCTGCCTGGCAGTATGCTCCCGAGCAGCATGCACACCAGAGAGCAGATCTGAGAACACCACTGCTTGAAGTGGCTGCATACTATCACTTTCCTTTAGGGGGTGAGGAAGCGCTGTTGTGCTTCTCCCTCCAACTCCCCACAGTTTCAGCATTTAATATCTCATCTTCTCAAAGCTGCTCTCCAAGGACCCGGAGGGAGAGAGTCCCATATTCCTAGCACTTAGTCAACATGTGAGTGCATGTGGTTTTTATTTATTATCTAAAACATTTTATTGTTCTCTTTATTTATACAGTTAAAAACAGACAATACTAGATAAGGTTGTGCAAAGAAAAAGGTACATCAAGCACGCAGTTAGTAGAGAGTGTGAATACTGATGTCAGCATGAGGGCTTGTGTAAGTTGCACCTGAGGATAATGGCCCCTAGGGGCTAGTCTGGCAGACTGGCATCAGCTAGGAATTGCACCTTCCTCACCATACCCCACCTTTCGCTGGCCACACGGCCCATCTGAAGGAGGAGTGGGAGAAGGTGGTGATATTCATTACATTGGCCTTTCACCACCTGAGGATTCCATGTCAGTGTAACCCTTAGGTAGCCAGTTAAGCTGCCTTTATGGTGAACTGGTGAAAAGTGGCTGCATCAGGGCCAAGATCTAGCCCAAAGTGTCCTTGCTTTTCCTTTTTGGACCTGAGGGCAGTCTCTGAGACCAGTGATCATGGGGTGTTGGGGACACCCCCAAAGACATAAATTTGCACTTGCATAGCTCCATTCTTCACACAGGGAGAACCAAGAGGGCAGCATTAAGTGATTATACATCTGATTTGGGGTTCTTGTGTGGTATAGCACAGCAATCCATTCTCGCATCTCTCTTGTTCAGTGTACACACAAGGCTGAGAGAGGACAGAGTGAGCGGTTCAAGCTGAAGGGCCAACAACACAAGATTAGTGTTCTGCTTTTATCAGACCTGCATGGTACAATTTCTGAGCTTCCAAGAGTCATGGTGAGATCTGGACTATGATAACAGTAGGGTAGCATCTGGTCTCTTTGTTCCTTCCAAATGTCCACATAGTCACTCTGGTAAAGGGGACTTGATTTTCCCCATCTATGTTTGGCAAGGAAGTTGTGATTTTTCAGTAAGGTGCAGAACCTCATCCTGGTTAGTCATGCCTGCATATTGGATTGCTGTAATTCTCTACCTGAAGGTCAACTGGAAACTTCAGGTGGTACAACATGCAGCCATCTGCTTACTTAGCAGTACCATGTGTTGGTAGCATATTACACTGGTATTCCAGAAACTCTGCGGGATGCCAGTTTATTTGAGGGTGTAGGTCACAGAGTTAGCTTTGATCTGTAATGGTCTTTATGGCTTTAGTTCTGCACATCTCAGATCAACTCTCTCTATTTCATGTGGCATCCCCACACTTGTGGTCAGCTGAGACACTCAAGCTTATGGTCTCTAGAATTATATATTAATAGGCTGGGACGGAGTGTCTTCAACTCTTGAATTTACTTTCCCTCCCCTCCAGTACAGCGTCCTAATCTGTTGAGCACCATGTTGAAGAGTGGTGTCCAGTCAGTTATGTGCAATACGTTTTCCAGACCATGCTAGGAGAACTGAAATCAAATCACAATACTGCTTTAAAAATAGGGAAGGGCCACTAATGACACTAAGCCAAGAAGTGAAGTGATGGCTATGTTTTCTTGCATCATTGCACTCATAGCACTGGTCATATCTTTCCAAGCAGGAGCTAGGTGTGAAAAACTGAGCCCTTTGTTCCCCTAGTACCTCTAGACCATGCCTTTGGCCAACCTGCCAACTTGTTCTTGATTTAGTCCTAAGTGGAGCCCAGGATCTGGTCCTAGAGGTGAATATAGCTGAATCACTGGGTAAAAGCAACCATAATATCATTCAATTTAACATCCTTGTGGGGGGAAAAATAACAAAGAAGACCACTACAATAGCATTTAACTTCAAAAATGAGGAAGCTAGTTAAATGGAAATGAAAGAGGTACAATCACAAAAGTGAAATGACTGCAAGCTGCATGGATAAAAACACAATAATAATGGCACAAATTAAATGTATACCCCACATTAAAAAACAGAGGAAGAGGACCAAAAAAGCTCCACCGTGACTAAACAAAGTAAAAGAAGTGAGTAGATGTCCAATAGCTATTAAACTTTTTGGTGAAAACTGAAACAAAAAAGTCTGCCATTTCCACATTTTTGGTATTGTTTCCCCCCTGCCTCCCTCATTGAGGCCTAGCCGGTCCTTCGTCTTCCTCTTGCTTCTAATGTATTTGTACAATGTTTTCTTGTTACCCTTTATGTCTCTAGCTAGTTTAATCTCATTTTGTGCCTTGGCCTTTCTAATTGTATCCCTACATGCTTGTGCTGTTTGTTTATATTCATCCTTTGTAATTTGACCCAGTTCCCACTTTTTGTGGCTCTTTTTTGAGTTTCAGATAATTGAAGATCTCCTGGTTAAGTCTGGGTGGGTCTCTTGCCACACTTGCTATCTTTCTTACACAGTTGGATAGTTTGCTCTT